TGATGGCCAGGGGCGTAGCTGTCGATCTGCTCCAGATGGCCAAGCGAGTTGGCCCATAGTGCGAAGCCGCCGAATACGAAGATCTGTCCGAGGAGGAAGACCTCACCCTGGAACGCATCGTTGCTAATGATTGAAGGAGCCATCAAGCCTTACCGTGACGACACAGTGAACTCTCAATGAAAGCACCAACGTTAGTGTCAAAACCGGCGGATCACGGGTAGGGGGTCCCGAACTGTGCATCTAAGGCTAATGGTAACAGGAGGCGGGGGACACGATGTTTACCCAGGTTCGGGCCCTCTCGATGGAGGTAATACCCTACTTCCTACTTGATTGATCTTGATGATATGAGTATTACAAGAGTTGATCTACCACAAGATCGTAGAGGCTAAACCCTAGAAGCTAGCCTATGATTATGATTGTTGTTGTCCTACGGACTAAACCCTATGGTTTATATAGACACCGGAGCGGGCTAGGGTTACACAGAGTTGGTTACAGACAAGGAGATCTACACATCCGAATCACCAAGCTTGCCTTCCACGCAAAGGAGAGTCCCATCCAAACACAGGATGAAGTCTTCAATCTTGTATCTTCATAGTCCAACAGTCCGGCCAAAGTATATAGTCTGGCTGTCCGAGGACCCCCTAATCTAGGACTCCCTCACCGTTGACTAAACTTCTCTCATAAACAAAACATGATCACACCTAAGTAATCTTTGGGTGTTAATCACATAGCAATGTGAACTAGATTATTGACTCTAGTAAACCCTTTGGTTGTTGGTTACATGGCGATGTGAACTATGAGTGTTAATCACATACATATGTGAACTATTGATGTTAAATCACATGGCGATGTGAACTAGATTATTAACTCTAGTGCAAGTGGGAGACTGAAGGAAATATGCCCTAGAGGCAATAATAAATTTATTATTTATTTCCTTATTTCATGATAAATGTTTATTATTCATGCTAGAATTGTATTAGTCGGAAACTTAGTACATGTGTTAATACATAGACAAAACATATTGTCCCTAGTATGCCTTTACTTGACTAGCTCGTTAATCAAAGATGGTTATGTTTCCTAACCATAGACATGTGTTGTCATTTGGTAAACGGGGTCAGATCATTAGGAGAATGATGTGATGGACATGACCCATCCGTTAGCTTAGCATTATGATCATTACAGTTTTATTGCTACTGCTTTCTTCATGACTTATACATGTTCCTCGGACTATGAGATTATGCAACTCCCGAATACCGGAGGAACACCTTGTGTGCTATCAAACGTCATAACGTAAAAGGGTGATTATAAAGATGCTCTACAGGTGTCTCCAAAGGTGTTTGTTGGGTTGGCATAGATCGAGATTAGGATTTTTCACTCCGTATTTCGGAGAGGTATTTCTGGGCCCTCTCGATAATACTCATCACTATAAGCCTTTCAAGCATTGTGACTAATGAGTTAGTTGCGGGATGAAGTATTACGGAATGAGTAAAGAGACTTGCCGGTAACAAGATTGAACTAGGTATGATGCTACCGACAATCGAATCTCAATCAAGTAACATACCGATGACAAAGGGAACAACGTATGTTGTTATGCGGTTTGACCGATAAAGATCTTAGTAGAATATGTAGGAGCCAATATGAGCATCCATGTTCCGCTATTGGTTATTGACCAGAGATATGTCTCGGTCATGTCTACATAGTTCTCGAACCCGTAGGGTCCGCAGACTTAACGTTCGATGACGATTTGTATTATGAGTTATGTGATTATATGACCGAGGTTTGTTCAGAGTCCCGGATGAGATCACGGATGTTACGAGGAGTTTTGAAATGGTCGAGGCATAAAGATTCATATATTGTAAGGTTGCATTTGGACATCGGAATGGTTCCGAGTGGTTCGGGCATTTTTTTCGGAGTACCGGGAGGTTACCGGAACCCCCGGGAGAAGTAATGGGCCTATTGGGCCTTATTGGAGGAGAGGAGAGAGGCCACAAGGGAGGGGTGCACCCTCCCCTTGCCCAAACCAAATTGCACGAGGGGAGGAGGCCGGCACCCCTCTTTCCTTCTCCCTCTTCCTCCCTTCCCTTTCCCTCCGATGGAAGAAAGGAAGAGGGGGGGGGCGAATCATACTTGGATTAGGAGTCCAAGTAGTACTCACCCTGGCGCGCCCAACCTGGCCGGCCTCCTCTCTCCCTCCCTCCTTTATATACATGGCCAGGGGGCACCCCAATAGCACACAAGTTGATCTTTTAGTCGTGTGCGGTGCCCCCCTCCACAGTTTTCCACCTCGGTCATATCGTCGTAGTGCTTAGGCGAACCCCTGCGCCGGTAACTTCATCATCACCGTCACCACGCCATCGTGCTGACGAAACTCTCCCTCAGCCTCAGCTGGATCTAGAGTTTGAGGGACGTCACCAAGCTGAACGTGTGCAGATCGCAGAGGTGCCATGCGTTCAGTACTTGATCGGTTGGATCGCAAAGACGTTCGACTACATAAACCGTGTTACATAATGCTTCTGCTTTCGATCTACAAGGGTACATGTACACACTCCCCCCCCCTTTTGCTATGCATCACCTAGATAGATCTTGCTTGATCCTTTGATTTTTTTTGAAATTACTGCGTTCCCCAACAGATATGGGCGGTGAAAAGTTGAGAAGCTTATTACTCTTGGGTGCTTGGTACCCTAGAGCTTGTTCCTCTTGGGTGCTTGGGTGCCCTAGATGGTTGGTGGTGCTTCGGAGCTCAATCATTGTGGTGTAAAGATCCGGGCAAGCGTCGGGGTCTCCAATTAAATTCTGGAGATTGCCCGAGGAATTTGTACGGGTTCCGGTGATTGCCCCCAAGAGTTGCCAAAGTGTACGGATTCGGTGACTGCCCCCAAGGGTTGCCATTTGTATTGGTTCAGTGACCGCCCTCAAGGGTCCCTTCGTGGAATCACGACATCTTGCATTGTGCGAGGGCGTGAGGAGATTACGGTGGCCCTAGTGGCTTCTTGGGGAGCATTGTGCCTCGACACCGCTCCAAACAAAGATTAGCGTCCGCAAGAGTGTGAACTTCGGGATACATCATCGTCTCCGCGTGCCTCGGTTATATTATCTCTTACCCGAGCCCTATACGTTTGCACTTTACTTTGTGATAGCCATAGTGTTTCATGTTATATATCTTTTACACAGTTGTTTATCTTTCTTAACATAAGTTGTTGACGCACATAGGCGAGCCTAGTTGTTTTTAGGTTTTGTGCTTGACAAATTAAACACTAGTTTTATTCTGCATTTGTTCAAGCCTAAACCATAATTATTTTAAAGCGCATATTCACCCCCCTCTAGGTGACATCCACGATCTTTCAGGAATGAAGTGTTGGACAAACATATGTGTGGCAAGAGGACTTTGGAGAATAGACTCATGGATGGCCTTCTGCCTTGTTGTCCATATAGCCCAGAGAGTCATTGTGAGGGTGACAAGCTTGTCATGTAATAAAGTATTCATCATCCCAAATAGCCACTGTTTTGCGCTTGGGTCTGTCGTAGAAATTAAGTGCTCAGCTAGGCCGCCATCAACCAAAGCACAAACAGACCTCGACATCGTGCACTCGAGTAGGGAATGACACCATGAGTCCGTCGCTCCACAAAACTGACAACTACCAGATGGTGACATATGTTGCGTAGCTTTCCCGGGACGTCCACCTGCCATAGCTGCTTCCATCCACTCTCCCTGGCTCCAGAAATGAAGGAGCTCACACTCCCATCGAGCCAAGCCTCCCATCGATGTTGTGTGTGCGTGAGCATTCGATACGCCGACCTCATTGTGAAAAACCGTCTTCTCAAAATTCCATGCCCAGAAATCCTCATTATTTCTAGTACAAAGCGGTATGCTCAAGATTACATCCACATCAGCGGGGATAAATGTTTTTTGTAATACCGCCCTATTCCACGAGGCCTCGACATGATTTATGAGCTCACTAACCAGGCTGGGGCGGACCGCTGCAAGGCACAAAATCGGTCTCATGTTTTCCTCTCTAGGGATCCAGTTGTCCAACCAAATATCGATGAAAGAACCGTCCCCAACTCTTCGGATCAAGCCTTGGTGTAGCACATCTATTCCTTCAATTATTTCATGCCATGTCTGTGAAGGATGGTTCCCAAGTCTGGCTGACAAAATATTACGAGCGGGGAAATCAATAGTTTTTAACATCATGGAACAAAGAGTGTGAGGACATTGTAGAATGTGCCAGGCCTGCTTAGTAAGCAATGATAGGTTGAAGAGCTCGAATTCTCTAAATCACAATCCACCCAGAAACTTGGGCTAGGTCATGTCCTTCCAAGAAACCCATGATGTCTTATTTTGGCCTTCCTTGCTTCCCCACCAGAATTGTCGTATGAGTTTATTCAGGTGCTTGCATAAGGCTCTCGGTAATTTGAAACACGACATAGAGTAAACTAGAACCGCCTGAGCCACTGACTTGATCAAAACCTCTTTGCCAGTTGAAGAGAAAAGTTTTGCCATCCATCCTTTAACCTTGTTCCATACATTGTCCTTTAAATATTAGAAAGCCCCCTCTTTAGAAGAGCCTACATCAGAGGGCATTCCCAAGTACCTATCATTCAAGGTTTCATTGGGCACTTGAAGAATATTATTGATCTCATCTTTGACATTTGCTAGGCATTTTTTGCTGAAGAAAAGGTGGGCCGCAAGTGGAAGGAGGGAGGGCACAACTAGACCATCACGATGGCTAATTGGCCATTTACGAGTATTCACACCGAGCCACCCAAGCAACGTGCCTCGATCTAGAGCCCAACTTAGCAAAAGTTGAATCCTAGAGTTCGTCGTTCTTCCCAATTCCCATTTTTCTTACCTTCAAGATCTTTTAAGAAATAGGAATGTGTTCTCCATAATGCATATGCTCAACCTTCCGTTATTACATAGTTCCAGCCTCCAGCTGATTTAAAGGAACCATTAAATGGCCCAAATAGAACACACATTGTTCATGAGCATGGAATAAAAACTAGGCACAAATTCTTCTATTAGACATCCACCCAAGGTTTGCTAAGATCTCCATGATTGTTGTCTCCAAGGTACGGCATGCCCATTTCAGTCTCGTGATGTTCTCCTCATTTTCCGCAACAACACCCACGACAACCTGGTCCGATGTGTTCCACCGAGGATCACCTACATATATGAATTTGTCAGCTTAAAAACAATACCATTTCAAGTTAGCCAAATAGTCCAATATAAGGCAGGTGCCCCAACCAGAACTTGGGTTCTCATTCGTGGGTTAATATTAGCCAGTCGACCTTTACATATATATGTGAGGCACATTAAGGTGATGGCAAGACCAAAGCTATAGTTACGGTTGTCCAAATTGGCAATCTACAAATAAATGTTGGATAGTTCATTATTGTCATAAATACAACAAAGAGTGCTCCCTTACCAATTAGTACGCTTTACTAGATTATATTTTTTCAGAATAACCACCGTACCTAATGAAAGATCCTAATCCTCGAAGGTATTTTAAAGGAGCAATTTTAGCACGTTCCCTCTTACCTTCTCTTTTTAAATTTTAACATGGTCCATGTTACATCCTCTTTTCACACGGGGTAAAAAAGTAAGAGTTACTCGAACCCACCACTTCATGAAATCAACGGCACAGATCTATTATATACTTTTACCTTTCATGTGAAAAGACGAAGTAAGAGTGACCATGTTAAAACTGCTCTCTAATTTTATCACAATCCTCTGGATCTGCAACGTCCAAAAGAATAGTGACATATATTTTTCAAGATTAAGCAATACTTAGTAATACTCCACACACTAATGAGGGCACACGTCAACCGAAAAAGTCTACGGAGTTTCATTTCGGGATATGCTTCGTTCTCTATTTGTCTTCAACTCTTCATATAGAACCAGCTAACAAATTCCTTTTTGTGTAGATTTAACTTGCCAATTTTATGCATGAGACATATGTACTTCTTAGCGTAGAAAATGTTAAGATCCCTTACAATAGTGAGCTACTAGAAAATAATTTTTGCATCACATGTCCATGCTTTCTACTCTCTATTACTGTATATACATAGTATAGCTTCCTAATCAATGTCCTTTTGCCAACTGGCTCTCAGAGTGATGTACGAATATTCTATAGTTTTGTTTTAGATCTAGTGTGTGCGTGAGAGAGCGAGCGAGAGAGAGGGAGAAAAGGAATTTACTACTGCGGTCGCCGTGTTGGAACTGCTCCATGATGTCGTAGTCGTGGAAGTGTGCGCTGCAGTTGCACGCGCCGTCGCCAACCGCGGCCTCAGCCATCCTCTGGAACGGGCACAGCCTCTGCGCCTCCTGGAAGGCCAGCGCGATGCAAGCGCCGCAGTCCGGCGACCTGGCGTCCGGGTGCCCTGAGCAGTCGGCGGAGGCCACAATCCGGTTGGGGCTATCGCCGGCGATGTTGCCGTAATAGCAATTGCGGGATTCCCCGGAATAAGAGTCGCTGCAGGATTCGCTGTAATAAGAGTAGCCGCTGGATTCCGCATTCGCCTTGGTGGGAATGGTGGCGACGAGATGGCGCAGGTTGGTCTCGTACGCGCTGCCCGGAGCGTACGTGCCCATGTCGTACGTGCCCACGGCTACGGGCAGGACGATGCCGCACTTGTCACTGGGCGTGAGGGCCAAGCCGTAGTCAGCGGCGGGCGAGCGGCTATCTGTTCCGGCGGCTAGCGCCGGGAGGAGCGATGCGAGCAGGATGATGACCGCGGCGGTGGTCATGGCCGGAGGAAGACAAGTACTGTATTTGGGTTCGATTAACGGGAGGATGGTGCTCTGATCTGGCGAGATTAGACAGTGTATATATTGTGGATTAGCTGAGCTCTTAATTAAGAGTTGTTGTCGACCGTTGACTACGAGCTACCGTCTATCGAGGAGTCAACATCTGCCAGCTGAAAATTATTGGTAGATTGGCTCTCAAGTACATGTTCTGAGGTGCCCAGTATTCAGTGCGTACTTTAGTACTCCCTTTGTTCCAAAATAAATGTCTGTATCTGAATATACATTTGCACAAATGACCTGACACTAATCTTTGACTTTTCAACGGTTACACTCACATCAATGATTCGCACTACTTTCGCTGCCAATAATAATATATTTTATCAGAGTTAAATACATCATCAGTGCCTAAACTTGTCCGTTGCAGTCAGTTTAGTGCTTAAACTTGTAAAATACATAAAAATGGTGCTACAACTTGTCGCACGGTGCATATACGGTGCCTCCGTCTGTATGCCACCGTATTTGCTCTCCGTATGGCGTGACAGCTGGCGGCTGGCCCACAAATCAGTGGGTGAGTGTTGCTTGCGCTGGGTGAAATGTGTACAAGTTTTTTTTGCAGAATATCCCGTGAGATTTAATCCAAGTCACAAATAAGTCATTGATCTGTATGCTAATAACAGGAAAATAATATACTGTGTCATTGAATTGGTTTCGACCCTGGGACCTCCAAGTTAAATAGCACGCACGCTAGACGCCAAGACTCTGCAATTTCCTTTTTTTAAGTTACTGTTTGTTTTTTACAATATATGTAAAATTTCCAATATACAAATATGCGACTATTGTCTATTAAAATATTTATTCTATTTTTCTAATTTGTAATTCGAAGAGCTAAACATGAACTGTTTGTAAAGTTTATGTGGATTTAAAAAGTTCAACGTATATTATGAAATATTGCGTAATTTTTTGTATCATCATTCCGGACCACAAGTACGGAGAATTGTTTTGTATCTTCATTGTATTTTTAGAATACATAATTATTAAAAAACAACAAAGTTGTATTTTGAAAATTGTTCAATACGTATTAAAAATGATTGTGTAAAAACAATAAATTATATAAATGGGTTAAAACATGTTAAACGTGTTTGTAGAAATGTAAGAATACTTTTACACAGTAATTATTTTAAAATATATCGAGCATTTTATGAAATAGATGTTGTAATCTTTTTGAATGTGTGACTGGCATTTTTCAAATACATGTTTTCAATTTCTTAATACAAGTGAGAATTTTCCCAAAATATCTTGCTTTTTAGAAAAATGCACTAACACTTTTTTAAGTTGATGGCAAGTAATATGTTGAGCTGTTCTCTTTTTTCAAACGTGAGAATTTCTTAATAATTTTTAAAATTTTCTGCGAGTCAACCTTTTTCTTTTTATTCTCTTTATTATTTCGTCTGATATCCCTAACAAATAGTAGTGTATCTGGATGGTGCATAGATAACTGCTCTTGGCTTATTGGTTAGCACATGTGCACATTGTGCGTGAGGTAATGAATTCGAATCCTGCCAGTGTGCTATTTTTTTGTTATTATACTCTATTTTATCCCACACGCTGACGTGCAGGGTCTAGATCTAACAGGTGAGATCAATGCAGTTTGGCTTATTTAAATAAAATATCAGGAGCTTTTGTGAAAATTACTTAAAGTACAAGGAATTTTCTTTAAAACAACCAGCCCACTCCTCTCACAGGAATTGACATGTGGGTCGACGCCATGTTGGCACACCATGTGGGCTGTGCATATGCCCGGATACGGACGGAGGCACCGTATTTGAACGTTCGAACAAGGTACGACACCAGTTTCATGTATTTTACAAGTTTAGGCACCAAAGTGATCGCATCAGACAAGTTGAGGCACCCGTGGTGTATTTAACTCTTTTTACCACCTAAGGCTTATCCTATCAATGGTTGGCTGGGTATATTTGTCTTTTTAACATAGCACAGATGTAGACACTCATACATACACACTCACGGACTCACCCGTATATATGCATACACGCACACCCTATTTTTACGAGCACCTTCGAAAGACTGAGCCAGTACATCATCTCGAGATTGATGAAGTCATCGGAGACGTCTTTATAGTCAACGGAAACATCCACTGGGCGAAAGCAATGGTGAAGCCAGCCGAAAGAACATGTGAAGTTACTGTGAAAGCACAAGTACTCCCTGAGTGTTTTTGGTCATTAATGTCAACATATCTCTTGTTCGACTAATACTTTTACCTAGTATGTTTCAGATAAGTTTAACATTGGAATGGCATTGACTAGAGGATGTGGAATCCTTTTAAGATTCTAAGGACAAAAGGATTGACTCAAGCTCAAAGCACAAGACTCTACTTTTTACTTTTAGTGATCCAAAATCACATTGAGTCCATAGGAAAGCCAATACTATTAAAAGGGGGTGAGGTGTTGCTTAATGGCTTGTTTGCTCAAAATGCTTAGTAATATGCTCCAAAGCCCTCAACCACTTTCTCACATCCACATATGTCCTAAACCAAAAGTCAAACTTGGCCCTACCAAACCTTTCTATCCGGCGCCACCGAGTTCAGTTGACATTGCCACTGACAGAAACCCTAGTCTTTTCGGTCTCACCGATAGGGATCTCGGTCTCATCGAGATGGGATTGTAATATCTCTGTTTCCTTTTATAACCGTTTCGGTCTAACCGAGATGAACAGATCGGTCACACCGAGATTGCAATGCAAACTCTCTGTTTCCCTTTCGTAACATTTCGGTCTCATCGAGATGAGGGAATCGGTCCAACCGAGTTTGCCTGACCAACTCTCTGGTTAGCTTATTACCAAAATATGTCTCACCGAGTTTGAGTAATCGGTCTCACCAAGATTACGTTATGCCGTAACCCTAATGATATCGGTCCAACCGAGTTGACATGTCGGTCCCACCGAAATGCCTAACGGTCACATTATGAACTAAATCAGTCTGACCGAGTTTAACGATTCGGTCCCACCAAGTTTGGTAAGTTGTGTGTAACAGATAGATTTCATGTGGAGGTTATATATACCCCTCCACCCACTCTTCATTCATGGAGAAAGCCATCAGAACGTGCCTACACTTCCAGCATACATTTTCTGAGAGAGAACCACCTACACTTGTGTTGAGATCAAGATCTTCCATTCCCACCACATAAATCTTGATCTCTAGTCTTCCCCAAGTTGCTTTCCACTCAAATCTTCTTTCCACCAAATCCAAATCCTGTGAGAGAGAGTCGAGTGTTGGGGAGACTATCATTTGAAGTACAAGAGCAAAGAGTTCATCATCAACACACCATCTATTGCCTTTTGGAGAGTGCTGTCTCCTAGATTGGTTAGGTGTCACTTGGGAGCCTCCATCAAGATTGTGGAGTTGAACCAAGGAGTTTGTAAGGGCAAGGAGATCGCCTACTTCATGAAGATCTACCCGAGTGAGGCAAGTCCTTCGTGGGTGACGGCCATGGTGGGATAGACAAGGTTGCTTCTTCATGGACCATTCATGGGTGGATCCCTCCGTGGACTCGCGCAACCGTTACCCTTCATGGGTTGAAGTCTCCATCAATGTGGATGTACGATAGCACCACCTATCGGAACCACGAATAAAAAATCTCTGTGTCTCCAAATTGCGTTTGCACACTCCAATCCCATTCCCTTACTTTCTTGCAAGTTGCATGCTTTACTTTTCGCTGCTCATGTACTCTTTGCATACTTGCTTGATTTATATTGTGAATGGTTAAACTTGTGCCAAAACTCCACTCCAACTTAAAGAAATTAAAAACTGCCAACTTTGTGTGTTGAGTGTCTATTCACCCCCCCTCTAGACCCCTCTTCTCGATCCTTTCAATTGGTATGAGAGCGTTGGTCTCCATTGCTTTGGTTTAATCACCATTGGAGGAAGATGGAAGAGTCTACTTTTGGGAGTCTTAGACATAGAGTGTCTATACTTGATGGAGAGTATTTTCATGAGTGAAAAAATGAGATGCTTGTGATTTTCAATAAATATCATTTGAACAAGTACATTACTAGCCCTTGTGCACCTCATGTTGATCCTATGCATCCTACCCTTGATGAGTCCATTGACATGATTCGCAATCTTAGAACTGTTAATCTTATCACTAGATGTTTGCCTAGAAACTTGATTGGTTGCTTGCATACTCTTGAATGTGCCTATACCATATGGAAATTTCTTGAGGAATGATTTCCAAATTATTCCTTGCAAAATCTAGATGAAATTCTCCATAAGTCTATTTCCTTGAGTAAGATGAATTCTAATGATCCTAAGTTTGGTGATTGCCTATTTGAGCTTACAAATCTTATGCGTGCCAAAGGAGAGGTTGGAATTATTAGTGATATTATCTCCGAAGCCATTAGAATTCATAAAGATGACTATTGTCAAAATCATTTGTCTAACAAATCACCCTCTCTGCGAATTGATCCACCACAGGACGATGTTGTACATGGATACTATGATGAGGATGATGATGATGACTTTGATCTTGATGATGCAATGAGACATTTTGGTGTTATGGCAAATCTTCGAGCATATATGGCAGGAGGAAAGGAATGGGTCCTTGATAGTGGATGTACCGATCACATGACCGGAGATAAAGATATGTTTGGTGAGCTTGTTGAAAACAACGGCCCTCGAAAGTATGTCACTTTTGGTGATAACTCAAAGGTGGCCATCTCACATGATAGCTCCATACAAAATGTCATGCTTGTTGAATCTCTTGGCTACAATTTACTTTCAGTCTCTAGACTTGCTGATTTCGGTTTCAATGTCCTATTTACCGAAGTAGATTACCAAGTGTTTCGAAGAGATAATCATAAAATGGTCTTTACCGATATACATAGAGGTGATCTTTACATTGTTGATTTCACTAAAAAGGCTCAACCTAAAACTTGCTTAATTGCTAAATCTTCGAAAGGTTGGTTGTGGCATAGACGGTTAGGTCATG